AGAAGTGAGGTAAACTTTTTCTGCAAAAACTAAAACATTTTTGTATCTTTTTGTCTAATGAGAAAGACATCAGCACCTTATAGCAAACTGAGACTTTCCAGAACTGTTCTGGATCCATTTTTTTGTAAAACGTGACTATTCCTCCTATTCAAATGAACAGTCGAGGTGGCTATTATAGGTCTTTAATCAAACATGCTGATGTATTAATTATTTGCTCCTTATCATGATCTTAGGTGTGATATATGCGACTGCAAAGACTCACTTTTATTCAACATGAATATTTCTGCTGACAGACTGGAAGTGTGCAAGTCATTGTGAACTCAAAGCAGCAAAGATCTCCAAGACCATTTGTCAGGAACGCCCAGATGGCAGATACACTTTTTAAAAGCCAGTGTGAATAACATCAAATAACCATGTAGTAACAACATGTCTCGTAAAGCAAAATAATCGCTCTATAATTGCAGTGTTTTCAAGAAATCTTGTTATTTATTAATTAATATCTATTGTTAAGCCGCCGCAAATAACAAACTTTGGCATGACATTATGGTTGTAAAAAGCAGCGACTCCAGCTATCTGCTCTTTTGGGACCAGCAAAATAGTTTCTAGAAAAATCCTGATAAATCACTATTATGAAGATAATGATAAAGATGATTGTACTGGGCTTGTTAGAAAAAATCCATGGAAAATGGTCACTTGACCAATGCCATCTTCATCTATAGTCCAATATTTGCAATAATTTCTTGCACTACTAACACAGCTCTATACCCATGATAACAGCAGCCACAGAAGTATAAACAAGTTTCCTATTTCCACTTACATTTTTAATGTAAACTCCATAGAGATGTCTCCCCAACAGGTCTGGCTACTGAAAGCAAGTGAGGATCTTCAGTGTAACTTGACACAGATACATAAGCCTGGCTACTGCTGTTGTGTTAGGGCAGTCTTTTCTCACCAAGAAGATGCAATAGGACTGTAGTAGGACTATGATTTCTTCCATGAAACCATAAAGCAAAATGATTCTCAAAGTAGTGTAGGTATGCTCTATTAAGAAAATTGTCTCTAGGGGAGTGATCGGGCTCTTTTCGTGCAGGCAATAAAGTGATGTCTACAAACACTGCATACACATGAAGTTTACATGGGTAAGACTGTGTTCTTACAGCAAGTCACTCACCAGTAAAGAGAGAGTTTGCTGAAAGACTAAAGAAGACTTTCGGCATTTGATATTGTTAACCTGATCTACAAAATTAAAGTGCTTGGACAACTGGCTGCACTAGAGAACGAACATCATTCTTAGATAAATATAGAAGCTGGGAACTCAAACCCTAGAAACAAGTTGCCTACAAACTCAGCTCCTTGCCATACTTCTTCAAGTCCCTGTTTCTTAAACTAAAACAACAAAATCTAATTATTTATTGGTTATTCAGTGCCCATACCCTGCAATAGGAAAAGGTAACAACTTGTCACATTTTGACAGATACATGAGTGTTACATCCTCTCTCAGAAGTGAAAAAAATGCATCTTGAGTGATGCAAGCTGGAACACTTGAAATGCAGCCTGAGCTTCCCTGACCTTCAACACAGAAACCAGTGAGAGATGCAGATATTGGAAGGTACCACATACACTGTGTTGGGTTTGAGGCCTACATAATTCTCACAATACAAGTTATAATACTCGCTGCGCCGCAGAAAGGTCTACATCCTTGTCCAGCTTGAAATTTTAGTGCAAGCTAAACACGTGCTGGGCGGATTCCCAGGAAAATAAGTTAAACTTGCATTTTTATTTTTTATTTGATAATTAACATAGAATGTGAGTGCCTACAAGAGAAGGGAGTACTATAATCCTTGTCTGATTGTTCTATTTTTTCAACGCCCTCCCAAATTAGGCTTATATACAACCACGGAACACTTTTACATACAGCAAACTTCTAAACTTCCTCCATTGTATCTGTTTCTCTTGAGCATACAATAGTACATTTGTTCGATTTATTTTTGTTAACACAATCGATACAGATCACTTGCTCCTTAATTGCATCAGCTTAACAAATAATACAGTTATTTCAGGGACAGTTAATGTTTCCAAAGGGAATACAAGAGACATGTTTACAAGTCATTCTGGCTTTTGCCCAGCTAATCGGTTCATGCGCCTCCAGTGTATCTTTTCAGCATCAACGACAAAAATAAGAAGTGGTGAGAAAAAAAAGGGGAGCACCCATCAAACACTCAGGAACTCAGCCACTGAAGGACTTCAAATGCTATTTTCATTATAGTTGGGTGTTATAAAACAAAATAGGAAGGAAAAGGGTGAATACACAAATCAGCTGCAAATCCATTTAAGCAAAACAAAACACAAGCTGGCAGATGTTGCCCTAATGACTAAAGTACTTGCTGTGGCTGAACTATTACCAAGTGTAATTTTACTGCTCCTTGCCTGTCTGCTGTTCTAATCTGGTTCATGGATAAGAGGGTTCACACATATTCTTAATACACAGTGCTGCTCCTAATGGCGGTTTACAGGAAAAAAATAATTCAAAACAATGTGAGTTACTCTACTTCTAAAATGCAACTGCAAAAAAAAAAAAAAAAAAAGCCAAGATTCATGTTTGAAATGTATTTCTATATCATTCACAGGTTATTGAATCACCAGTGCCTTAGTTGCTCACGGTCTGGACGAAAGTAACACCCATGGATATATTTGCAGTCAACGCACATGTATCTCAGTGGAGAACTAGCCTTTCTTACAGGCAACCCTAAACCCAGAAAAAAAGTGCTGTCTTACACTTAAGAAGACCCCTAAGCACACAAACAAACAATCTGTTTTGCTCCATGCAACAGTCTGAAAGCTGTGTAAAGTGTTAAGGGATGGGAAAAAAAAAAAGAAAAAAGAAAAACTGCACAACATAACTGTCAAATTGGCATTTAAGCCAATTCAAAGGCCCACTGACTCCATCCTCTTTCCAAAAATTTACTAAACAAAATAAATCTTGAGCCAGTTCTCCCAGGAGGTCACTCGGCAGCTCGCAGGTGATAGGAGGGCTGACACTGTTGGAACAAACCTAGCAGATCTAGAAGTGGCAGGGTGCTTCCAGCTACAGGCATTTTTGCTAACTTGATACCAGATGTAAATCTTCATTTCACAGCTATTCACAAAAGACAAAAATGTGATGTAGCCCTCAGAAAGGCTTATCAAACAGCATTAGCAACACACTTCTCTTACAAGTTCCCCAACCCATGGGAATCCTTACAAAAATTATAAACAAAGTAGTACAAAGCTTGTAAAAATATGTAGTCAAAAACGAGGAAATTCTAGATTTACATTTCTCTGCATAAACTTAATCCTATCCTTTTATACTTCTTAGTAATAGAAAATGTCAACTGAGTCACCTCAAAAGCTCTCCTTTGAGGACATGAAGGTTTACTACAGCCCCTCCTCCAACGCCTGAGCTCTGGGCACGTCGGGGCTTCTGGAGAGGCCTGCAGGGCCTGGAGCTGTTCACGGCCGCTACGAACCTGCTGTGCAGACACTTCCAGGCCGCAGGGTCCCTTCTCGCCACGGGGCAGCCTTACCCACAGCTGGGCTCATGCTTGAAACATTCACAAACACGGAATTAAAGATGCTGTCCTGGCTACAGGTGCTACCTGGCTGCTCTCGGCAGCTGCAGGATTCTTACAGCTTCTTAGCTAGGCTTCAGGAATACGAAAGCCAGCTCACCAGGAAAGGGTTGCATAAGCAGAAAAGCAATTTCCTTCCAACTAATCCTTTTGACCCACTGACTCCACCTTCCTTTGGAGAAGTTTTAAGTATGAGGCACGCAGCTCTTCTTATGCAGGACGAGATGTCCCCAGAAGCCTGTTTCTCAGAGCTCTGCCAGCAGAATGTTTTATTTCTCATAAAACACGGTTACTACCAATAAAGTCTTACAAGGGCTACTGCAATAAGAGAAGAAATGCAAGCAGATAGTTCCTGCATGTTTATAACAATTTCTCAGTTTAGTTTTTCTTCTTGTTAGAAAAAGCTCTTGACTTATAAAGCAGCTTTCTTTTAGAGGACATCAGTGGCATCTCCTCTCATTGTAGGACCTTAAGTAGGGGCAAGGCTGCTTCAGAAAAAAAAATGCTGTTAAAGTGACTCATTCTGTCAGCATATGAATGTCAAATTCATTTTAAAATAGCAGGAATAGATTTCTGTAGTCACCAGTGATTTAAGTAACTTCTGTGATGTAAGAAAGTCTCCTGAATTTGTTACATAAATAAATAAACTTATTTTCTGACCTTGTTCATAGACTTTAATTTAAAACATTTTTAAAAACTTGTTCAATTCTCATTTTAGTTATAGGCTAAAAAAATCTAATCTGGGACACTAAACTGATTAGAATAACTTTAAGCTATTTCTTTATGTATCTCATTTCATGTAGCACAATATAAAACTATTTTATTGCTTTGCAGAAAGACATTTTTATTTTGCAAAATGCTCTGATTTTACAGACTGCATGCTGAATGATTCACAGTTTGGTGGCTTTTAGTACTGAATTGGTATCCATAACACAGAGTTGAAGACTATGAAATGTAACTAAGAACGTGATCAAGGTTCTAACAAAAATGTTCTGGACTAAAGATTTTCCTCAAAGCTACACAATAAAATTTCGATTTCCAGCCTGCTTCATCAGGATGTCTGTCACTTTTGGGTTTGGTCTATGACTAGCAAAATCACAATAGTGACTGTAAAGTAGAGATAGTACACAGAAATACAATATACAACCTATTGACTGAAGTTAGCTGGTAACTGGTCACAGCCATTGAAAATTGACAGGAGTCAAGATTTTTGTTTTAGAGAATCAGATGGCATCCAAAGACACATTTCCACACAATATGACAGAAGAGACATCATCATTCTTGACCTTCACAAATTCATCTTCACAAATTACATCTTTTAAGATCTTTAACCAAAGCTGGACGATGAAAGTAAATGAAGTTTAAAGTTTATTAGTAGAATTTACATCCTACCTCTTATTAATGGTAGCCCATGTTGCATTAACGCTATCTGTCATCAGCTGTACTTTTCTCGTGTCATCCTCTGAATAATCGCGGAGCAGCTTAAGTGCCAAGTCGTTCGCCACATCCACATTTATTTGCCCTTGCCGTAATTCTTTTGAAAATTGCTGAAATCAAAATAATAAGAAAAGAAATAAATCTCAGATCATCCTAAAGTGATTACACACATTTTATAGGCAGCAGAAAAGTACACGGACAACTTATACCATCAATACAAAACAAAGAATAAGGACTTCCTCAGATCTGTTGGAACTAAAGTAGGAGTCTTTTTAAATGTTTATTTTTCAGTTATGAGACTGTAGAACTAGAGCTAAGCATCTGAGGCAACTGAGCAACAGGATAATAAATGTCAGCTAAAACATGGGAGCTGAAATGGATAGCGATTATTATCTTGATTGTTCCTTTCCAAGACAGAAATGGGTGGATACATTAGTATAACTTCTATTTGTGCTGGTGAATAATACTGACAGGTATAAAATATTTTGAAATAATAGACCATTATAGCCAGTCTTCTCTTTCACAGTGTGAAATAACAATAAGGTTTGGACAAATAATGCCTGTGCTTTCATCTATTTTTCCCTGACTTTACTAATTTAGTGAATTGTTTATGTAATTAGTGCCATCTACTGGAACAGCCCTAAAGCTGCAATACAATAAAATACGATACTGCTGGGAAAGCTGATGATTTTTATAATACTGATTTTTGCTTTTAAGTTTTCAGAAAGCTTTTTAAATCTCAAGCATACTGTCCTCTTTTCTCCCTTTTCCTCTCTCCTCCCCCAAATTTCAAGACTCCTGACAGCCTGAAACAAAAACCCATAGATTTTCCTGTTAATCTGTTTCTCAGAGAAAACTTCCATATCCATGAACTGAAGCTGCAGATTTATTCTATAATTCTACAATAACAAAAATGGAAGAGCAGAGACGTTCAGAGATGGTCTGCTTTGCTTCTGCACTAGGCAAGACTACAGGTTATTAACCAAGTGGGACAATGCAAATTAAAAAAGACTCTATTTGCAAACAGAAGCAGTAGGCTGAATCCCTAAATACCTGAAGCTATCTACAAAGAGTAAACACTGAGACTTGACTGACTATAGAAAAGATGCATCATTTCCTGCAAGAAGGAAATTTGGGTTTGCCTCTCTTTTTCCCAAAGCAGCATTCCTATTCAAATGTTTTGATTTAGATTAAAAAAGCAAAAAAAAAGTCAAACTATTTGAAGATTCACATTGATTAAAGAGCCTAAATACTGTGAAAATAAATACATTTTGAATGATTGAGACTCGACTGACTATAGAAAAGATGCATCATTTCCTGCAAGAAGGAAATTTGGGTTTGCCTCTCTTTTTCCCAAAGCAGCATTCCTATTGAAATGTTTTGATTTAGATTAAAAAAGAAAAAAAAGTCAAACTATTTGAAGATTCACACATTGATTAAAGAGCCTAAATACTGTGAAAATAAATACATTTTGAATGATTAGCACACTTACTTACATTTTCACCTCAGAAATTGTGCAAACTGATTTTGATAAGGCTGGGTCTGAGACTTGCTTCTCTTTTGAAGAGTCCCTGCTGGAGTTTCTGGCTCCACACTCCCATCTATTAAGAAGTTGTTATAGCATCTATAGGTTCTCCTTGGACTCCTCTAAAATTTAAAACTGAGAACATGCATTTTCTTTCTTTCCTGTGTTATTCTGTAGGACTCCTTCATGACAGAGAGAGATGGCCCGATGCCCTACACGCTACAACAGCAACCTGCTCTCCTGGATAGAACAAGGGATCCTGATTCCGTGAACCGGCTGACCCATCTGTGACTAAGCTCAGTTAAACTGAAGCTGCCTATACATAATTTTTTTCAAGTCCTTCCCTCATGGCAACTATGGAGATGGAGTCAGAGTAGTTCATAATTTTATAGCAAAACCTGTAGAATTTGCTGGGGAGAAGATACAGACCGGTGGTTGTTTTGGAAATATTCCTGTAAACAAGGCCCTTCCCTAGCAGGATTATAAATATTAAACATGTAAATGTTTATGTTTGTATAAATATAACAAAATAGGTTGTAATTACCATTTCTACTTTTATAGTTCTTTTAAAGTAAAGCATCTATTTTACATTTAGGAGTTTCCATTTTGATTATACTTTACCTCTCTTGCTGTTTAAAATACTAAGCTGTTCCAATTCATGCACACACACAGCTACTTTTTCCAGTAAAGAATTACAGCAGGCTACTCACTGCATTACACAAAAAAGTTTTGCCCACTTTGTAAACTAATGGCCTGTAAACTTCACTCTAAAAATAACTTCCCTTTGCCCAGTTCCCGGGGAATATAAATGCCCTTATAAAACCTTCCAAACCAGACTGTAATGAAAATACAGAAAGAGTTGTTACAAGGCTATTTCCAAAAGTGTTGATTCTTACCATTAACTTCAATATTAATCCATTAAATTCCTGACATTACAACACTAGCTCATCACTCAGGGAAGAAACAAAGAATATAGAGAGCTATGTCGACAGAAACAATTTGCATTTTCTACTTTGTTGTGAATTGGTATGTAATTTTTCAACAACTTTGAAGAGTTTATGCCTTGCTTGAACTCTGTTCTCAGAATCTGTGCAAAGGGCAAAGTGTTGTGGCAAATGTTTTATGCCTCTTCTTCCAGAGGCCCATTCAATTTTATCCCATATGACTTAAAAAATAAACTTTCAAAATAAAACTAACAGTGATTTTTTTCCCCTCTCTTTTTTTAGATCCCATTTATCTTTTAACCACTTAGGTATATACTTGATTTTTTTTTTTTAAAAAAAGGAAAATAATATTACCTAATTTAATTTTGATTATTTTTTAAAGCATGCTCCTTTTTTGTCTATGTCTCCACTGGAACTTGCTCAGTTTATTAAAAGGCTTAAGGAATTAGGGTTGTGAATTCATCATGTTACTTAGGTATAAATATATTTTTATTTTTTAATTAGAAGACACCAATTGCTGTTATTTGGAAGAAAGTTTGTGCAATTAAGGATGCTTAATTAAAAACAAGTAAGGAAATTAGATTTTTTTTTCCTATCCCACAATTTCCCGATGGAATAAAACAAACTATTCATAGAAGCTCAAATAGAGCCGTAAGCACATGCAGCATCATCCAATTCAGAGTATGTAAACTCCTAAACCAAACAGGTACAGAGCACAAATCTGGAAAATCTGGCTGTCTTTCTGTCCTTTCTCTGCATATCTATAGCATATGTTTTATTTATATGCCTAAAGAGCTTTAATTTTTCATCGGATGCTTCTATTTCGGTGTCTGCAGCAGAGCCGATAACATCCCTTGAACTGTTGGCTGTCCCATGGAAACGAGGGCAGCCTCTTGTCCACCCCGGGATAACGCAATTCCCCCATGGATTTGGGCTCCAGCGGCTGGAGGCTTCAGCCTCTCCAGGTGCACAGGCAGCAGCAACATTTCAAGCAAATGTTAAGTCGCCTCAAGTTAACAGGCCCGCAAAGGAAAGCGAAGGCAGGATGGCCCCGGCCTCGCACACGAAGCCAGTGCCGGTCCTGCGCGGCACCAAGGACCCTGGCCAGGCCGCTGCTCCGCTTTCTGTTCCAGGGAGCGGGGAGGAGGGGGTCAGCAAAGGAAAGGAACAAAGTCTCGTCTCCATCCCTCCTCGCCGCCACCTTGGACGGCCAGGCTAACCTGGCTTGGGGGGAGGCGAGATGTCTCAGAACTGGTGCACCAGGCAGGGCCAAAGCTTTAACCTGGGCTTGGGAACACAGTGGGAAGAGGCTGGCTTTAGCCTAGCTCGCGTCCAGCTGACTCCAGTCTGACAGCAGTCGGAGTGTGGCTCTTGGTGCTGGTCACACAGGCACAACCTGCCGAGCGAACCGGCTGCGCGGCGCCGGGCCTACAGCCGCACGCGGGCTCGAGCGGCTACGGACTCCCGCCGAGCAGGACGCCGCGCGCTGAGCGACCCTGCCGAGCCCCGCTCCTCCCGAGACGCCTTTCAAATACCAAACTAAAGAGAAAAATGGGGGAAAAATGCATTAATCCTTAGTAAATTAGCTCTGAACTAACTTCCAACTCAATCAAAGCATATTTTTAATTAGTAGCTAGACAGTACTCAGTTACCTTTCCTCTAAATGTCAGTCGCAAATGTGTCAAATCCTACAAAAAAGAAAAATAATTCCTGGGTAAAAAAAAAAAAGTCAGTTACAGACTTCCCCCTTAGGCTGGCATTATAAAAACATAAGTAACAAAAAAGCCGGCACTAGTGAGCTCCTGCTCTGCACGGATGTGGACGGCTGCCTTAGCCTTCCCAAGGCTCCCTTGGAGAAGAGGGAGCTTTGGCTCCGACTCAGCTGTCTTGGGACAGACTGGTGGTATTTAACAGCCACACTAGCAGATGACTTGGTGACCACACTTTCTTTACACCAAGCTGGGCTGAGTTACAAAGCGGACAAAATTAATATGTTTGAAGAATTTGTTGCCACATTTCCTTGGCTCTTTCTCTCTGCACAAATGAATAGAATTGATGGCTTTATTTTCATCAGTGACTGCTCTTACTCTAAATACTCACTGTCAAAAGACAGTGTCAAAAGACGCCACTCTTCTTACTCTAAATATTCAAAGGGTCAGCATCAAAATATGTATGTTTTGGTACAGAAGTCTGGGAAGCATTTCCTTTCTCAAGGACCCGATGCATTTCAAAGTCCTTCACTTCAGATCCTACTATATAAAATATATATACATATATATAAAGCAGCTAAACTCAATTAAGATTTCAGCTTGCCTTAAAATGCATGAACATTTAGTTCAAGCAAGAACAAAACAGCTGATGCTGTCACATCTCAGAAGCTTTCATGTGGGACTTGACTCGAGAGGAATTACTGGCAGATGGATTTCCTCTACGAAGGCTGGTTGAAAGAAAGAAGGAAGGGAAGAGAGAAAGAGGGAGAGAAAGAGAGAAAGAAAGAGAGAGAGAAAGAGAGAGAGAAAAGAAGAAAGGAAGAAAGAAAGAGAGAAAGAGAGAGAGAAAGGAAGAAAGGAAGAAAGGAAGAGAGAAAGAGAGAAAGAGAGAGAAAGAGAGGAAGGGAAGAAGCGAAGAAGAGAGGAAGAGAGAGAGAGAGAAGGAAAGAAAGAAGGAAAGAAGGAAAGAAGGAAAGAAGGAAAGAA